CCTACACAACATTTTGTCCCATGACAAGATCGAAGAATCGGTGAATAAGTGGATTGGTTCAGCAAACATTATCCCATCAAAATCGGTTAAATGGGATATTTCCAATTTCAGTACTAAACCTATTTAAGCGCAAGCAGAAAACAGATTTTATGGATCAGTTTCGGACCACAAATCTCCAGCTATCATCGAAACGCCATCAAAAGGCTTGGTTCAAGTTCCATTAGTTTCCATTGCTTAAAATTTTCTTAGAGAACAGGCAATACCATGAATACGACATTTGTGATTAACCCAACTTCATGGGTGACCAAACGCCTTGCAAAGACAGCCTGCTCAACTATCTCTGCAGCCGTAAGGTTTCTCTTCAAGCCCATCCTGTGTGTAAAAGCAGATAACTCAACTAAATAGGTTCTCCAGAAAGGAAAAATGAGGAAAGCGTCTTGAGAGAATATCCAAATACAAACTTTAAGCAACGGAAACAAATGGGTACCTGCCAGTATAGCAGAACTGGCAATTCATCGCACAACCTACTTGGCTCGAGACACAAACTGTCGTTCTGCCCCGGTCACACGGTATAACAACCGTCTCAATCACAAGCCCGTCATCCAATGTGAACAGAATCTGCAACATCCTGTGAGTTCGGAATCAATGAGGAGATTCTCAAAAACTAGTAAAAAGGAATTGCTTTCTTTCTAAGACATGTTGCAGAATCTATAATCTAAAACTACAAACAGAAAAAAAGGGGATAATCTTCTTCACCTTCTTAGTGCCATCTGAAGCTGTGCGAACATCCTTCAAAGACAATGCCTTGAGTTCAGCATGATTGCACAACATTTTCTTGAAATCTTTGTTCAGACCTGTAAGAAGCAACACAATGGTAAATCCGAATTCCTTGTTTGTTTCTAACAATAACAAGATCCAATGTACTCTGAAGCAGTAAAACATATAAACCTTCAAGTTCATCCACATCATGCGCCCACATATTGTCTCTATATAGCCGCTTCCATAACATCAAAGCCTGCCCCGGACGAAACCCATGTGATTGAACCCATTCCTGCCAGAACGTTTTCCCATTTCGTCAAAAGGTCATCAACAATGGTTTCACAACATTCAAGGATAAATCTACTAAGATCAACAAGCTTTGTCTAAGTGGTAGTGGAATCGTTTCAGGGGTCAATGAACTCGAATTCTAACATCAGAGTGAAATCAAACAATCCGAAAGGAACCCCAATAGGAGAATTATCACTACTAGTTGAGAATAGTGAAACATGTCTGGAATTCGAATGTAAACTGAAAAGGAACAGATGAACAAAACCATGAAAACACAAACCAAGAATATGGGAACATACTTGGAGCTCAGCGTAGCTCATACCCTTCAGGATAACCTTCTGATTATCCATTTTCTCCAAATCACCTGACAAAAACAAGAGGAAAAAAAACAACACAAAACCATTGAAATTAGTCACAATTTCTCAGCAAAACAAACACAAACACCGGGAATCAAAGAAAGGCATGTCAGAGACGGACCCGAACTGGAGGAGAAATCATCAAGCGCGGGAAGATAAGAAGCTGAAGAAGAATAAGAGAAGCAGGAGATGGAGAAAGCGCGTCGGCGAAGGACAGAGAGGTGGGAAACGAGGCTTGGGGAGCCCGCGAAACGAAGGCGGAGGTGGTGCGGTGACGGTAGGGTTAGGGTTCCGGCGGAGATGGCCATAGAAGAGACTAGGAGCTTCGCCGTGAAGGCTCCGGAGTTAGTCGCCGCGAATCCGATTCTCCTCATCCCGTTATCACCATCGTCGCTTATTCCTCGTTATATACACCACAATATAGTACGTATGTATGATTTTGGGGAAAAAAAAGGGAAGAAATGCTATAATTTATAGCTCGTTATGAAATATAGGAAATATAAACGATTCTGATATTAGATTCGTTTAACTATAACCAAATACAGTATTTTAGAAAAATTCGGAAGAACGTAAAAAAGAAAAAAAAATGGGATTTCCACTCATAACGAAGGAAGGTTAGATACCTTTTACAGGGTTGTATTTTTGGTTAAATAGAAAAATGGAGAAGGATATATTTCTTATTGATTTCTCTCTTGTGTACAAACGGAAAAACCCAAATGACATATTTATAAAAATCGCGAAGTTATTGTTCACGTATATAGTCGATGTGAACAGTACCATGTACCATGTATATGAACAGTAAGTCGGTATGAATAATAACGTGGACTCCACCATAAATATATTTATAACACTCCCTTTAGAGTCACCGTTAGTAAAAACACATTTGCGTGTTTCGGTGCTGCCTCGTTAAAACCCTTATCAATAAAACCCTATGGAATAAAAGGAAAAAGAGTACAGCTACACGCTCCCCTGAACAAGAAATCAAAGATCCCGTAAATGATGCATCCCAATATTATGTACATATTTCTTGAACACTATTGTCAGAAGAGCCTTAGTGAATAGATCTGCTGCATTGTCACATGATCGTATATATCTGACTTCAATCTCCTTATTCCTTTCAAACTCCTTGGGGGATATGTTTTGTTCTATCACTTTTGATGAATCATTCCTTGGTCTGTGCAACGCATGCAACATTGTCTTCAAACAATATTGTTGGTGTCGTCTCGCCTCATACAACGCACTAGCCTTTTGAATATGTTGAGATTAATGATCTCAACCATACTGATTCTCGGCTCGCCTCATGTAATGCGATGGCCTCGGCATGATTAGGTGATGTAGCAACTAAAGTCAGTTTTTGAGAATGCCAGGATAATGCAGTTCCATTGATTGTGAAGACATAGCCTGTTTGTGACCTGCCTTTATGTGGTCTGATAAATAACATGCATCTGCAAAACCAACAATTTCTTGTTTTGTATTTTTAGGGTAAAACAACCCAAAATCAATAGTTCCTTGAAGATAACGAAATATATGTTTAACCATTGGTTGTAAAATGCGCGGGGCGCATGGAGGCGCTAGAGGCTTGTAAAATCTGAGGCGCGAGGTGAAGCGCACGCATCCTGTATGCGAGGCGCTTTTAAAAAGCTATTGTTAAAAGTATATTAAATATTTTATGTTGAATAAATATTATAAATCATCCAAATGCAAAATACTTAATATATATTAATGTTCAAATTCAAAATCATCAAAAATAAAATTAAGCATTTCAAAGAAATAATCCAAAACATCAATTGTTTTTTAAATACCTAATCAAAATCAACATCATTGTAACATTCGTCCTTATCATACTCGTCGTCTTTGCCAATATCTTCTTCTTCTTCCTCGTCCATCAATGTCAAATTGTTTGCAATAGCTATGTCTTTTCTTTTATTCATTCGAGAGGAAAGAGCAGGACGACCTTGTGCACTTGTTGATGTTGAACGTCGAGTATAATAACTCGGATCGTAAGCCCCTATTATCCTACCAACTTGAGTCCATGTGAGGCGATCATCATCCTCAAACACGAAATCATCATCATCCGAGTCGCCTTCCATTCTTCCAAGTAATCATTCATTGCTTTCATCAATTTCTTCCAAAAGAATGGGGTCACTTGTGTCTTCTTTTTTGTATCGACATTGTAAAGCACGATTGTATTTAATGAAAACTAAATCACTGAGTCAATCTTGTGCCAATCTGTTTCTCTTCTTTGTGTGAATCTAAAAAAAATAAAAAGATATAAATTAATAGTTTATTAACAAAATAACATATGTTATTGTAAAAAAAAAAGAATATGTACTTACATGTTGAAAAATACCCTAATTTCTCTCGCAACCTGTAGCACTACAAGTGAGGCTAAAGATTTTCAGGGCGAACTTTTGAAAATTAGGAGTCGAAGATCCAAAAGAAGACCACCACTTTGCTATTAAAAACAGAAAAATAAAATAAAAATTTATATATTTATAAACATAAAAAATATATAATTCATAAGATTTTATATTTCAAAATTTGATATCTGGAGAACGTGTGTTTCTTGATCTAATAGCTGTAGGCAGACCGAAAAGACCTTCCGTCGATTTATATGTTTCCATCTCTGTTATGATCTTGTCTTCCATTTCAACATTACGTGATAATCTTGCAATACATTCAAATACGCCTTTCATAACCTCTTCACAAGACATTTCTCCAAAAGGAATCTTGCAAAAGAAATCCTGCGATTTTCCTTCCCCCCGTCTCTTTTGACCATTTTGATCCACTCCATTCTTCTGACGTAATCATCTTTCTCAAATTATTCTTCTGTCTGTGGAACTGTGAAAGAGTTATGAAAGATGTTGCAAATCTAGTAACTACAGGCCGATGCAGGTTCCTTTGATTTGTGAACTGTCTCATCATGTTCACAAGAGGTACATGGTTATATATATAACCATTTATGAACATACACTTCTTTATTGTAGTATGTACCTTGGAGATTTTTCCCATATCTTCCAACATTAGATCGATACAATGCGCTGCACATGGAGTCCAAAAAAGATGCGACCGCTTGGTTTCGAGCAATTTTCCTATAAGTAAAAAAAATTATATTGTCCATCAGAATCATTAGAATCATTAGAAATTAAAAAAAAATTAATAAAAACTGAAATAAATGTTTTTTTTACCAGCTTTAACGTAATTAGAAGCATTGTCCGTCACCACTTGGATTACATTATCCTCTCCCACTTCCTCTACCATATCATCAAGCAGTTGATACAATAAATTGACATCCTTGACAACCTCTGAAACATCCATAGATTTCATAAAAACCGAACCCTTGGGAGAGTTAACAAGGAAATTTATAATATCCTTATTAACAACCGAATCACGACATCCATCTGAAAAAATTGAGCAGTTTTTTTCTTTCCACTCCTCCTTATGCTCATTTAATTACATTTCAGTATCGTTCATCTCCTCCCTAAGAAGCGGAACTCTTAACTCATACATGCTCGGTACCTTCAACCTCGGACCATATTGCCCAATACTTTCGCACATCTCTGCAAAACTTGGATAACTAGCTGCATTGAAAGGAATTCCGACATCGTAAAAAGACCTAGCTATTGCTCTACAGGTTTTTTGTCGGAGGTTCTTGTCAACAACCTGGTGGATTCCATCCTTTTTTGGATTAGCTTGAGGAGTAACAAACATATCCATCGGTCCTTTCATTCTTGGCTTTTTGGGAATAAACTCTTCTTCCTCTTCATCCAAACCATCAATAGATTGAGACCCAATTGGAAGCATCTGACTTTCAATCTTCGAAGCTGCTTTTTTCATCATAAAATCTGATATTTCTGTTCTCACTGGCTCAGGACAAGTAGGACATTTGATAACATTTTTAAATCCTCCAACTAAATGTTGTTTGAATCGTTGCACTTCTCCCTTGGTAACTTTGTGACAAAATTGACACGTAAAATTGTTTCGATTGATAGGATCTTTTGTACCATATTTATATCCGGGATCTGTAGAACTCTTTGAAGTGGTCTCTGATGTTGACATTATAAAATCCTGTACGATTACGAAACAATATATATATTATGTATTGATCACATACTTTCTGATTATATAATAATAATAATAATAATAATAATAATAATAATAGAATTAAAAATAAAAACAAAACAAAACATGTGACAACAACAGGAAACATATTGCTTCTTTTTTTAATGTCTTTATTATTTATAGAACATGTACACGGTACACCAACCAAACACGTGTTCATCCCCCTGCTGTTCATCGACGCCATAGACAACAAAAGCAACAAAACTTAAAATCTACCCAGATCGAACTATGGAAAAATTACAAAAAAGAAAAAAAAACAAACACAATCTGAACGCGAACCGAAGAACAAGCAGTGAATAAATTTTACCTCCAAGGATCCGAAGAGAAAAAAAAAGTCGCAGGTACTTCGTGCTTGCAGGTTCTCTTTTCTTCTCCTGTCTGTTTTGAATCTGTGTTGAATATTGCTTTTTCGGGTTTGTTTAGCCATCTGAGATTCGGCCGCGACTTTTCGCTTCCTTTTTTATCGCTGTTTCTATTTTTAATTTTATTTCATACCTAGGTTTTTTTTGCGCCACGTGACACGGAGCGCACGCCTCCGCTTCATGTCGCCGCACATCAGAGGCACGCTTTCACCCGCATCTTGTATTTCGCGTTGCCTCCAAGTAGAGATGCGATTTTCCCATTGCATCTGTGCCTCGATCGCCTAGGCGCACCCAGGGCGCGCCTTTTAGAACCAAGGTTTAACCTCATTCCAATGTCTTCGTGTTGGGGCAGAACTGTATCTTGCTAATAGATTGGTAGCGAATGATATATCTGGTCTAGTACAATTTGCAAGATACATAAGAGCTCCTATTGCGCTTAGATACGGTACTTCAGGACCAAGTATCTCTTCATTATCTTCGCGATGACGAAATGGATCCTTTTCAATGTCCAATGTTCTATTAACCATCGGGCTACTTAGTGGATTTGCTTTATCCATATTGAATCATTTTAGTACCCGTTTTGTATAATTTGATTGATGTAGAAAGATTTTATCTTTCAAACGTTCTATCTGCAGCCCAAGACAATATTTGGTTTGTCCAAGATCTTTCATCTTAAATTTCTCTTTTAAATAAGTGGATGCATTCTGGATTTCACGGAGAGTACCAATGATATTTAAATCATCAACATATACAACAATAATCACAAACTCAGACATTGTCTTTTTGATAAATACACATGGTGATATAGTATCATTTGAATATCCATTTTTCAATAAATGCTCACTCAAGCGTTTATACCATATACGCCCTGATTGTTTTGGCTCATATAATGATCGATATAACTTGACAGCACATAACTCTCGTGGTTTTGCTTTCAATGTTTCAGGTATTTT